CTCCTGTCAGGTGCCCCACCTTGTCTAGTCTATCAAGGACCATTTTGAATTGGTCCATGGTGACCAGGTTTTGAGAGTTAGGATTATTGTCCTATTTATCAGCCATTGTTGGAAGCTTAATTGTTTTGAATTAAGTGTTCACTTAGGGAAAGTCTTAGCAATGTTTCCCATAGACGACACCAATTGTTGCTGCCAAGGATGGGCCGAGGGAAACAAAGTAAATCCGCTTCTTTAGTTGAGGCCGATGTTTCCAATCTTGAGAGTAAGAGACCACACATCAAAGACCCTAGGTGTTATCCCAGGGGCAGAGACTCCGATGTTCAAGTTAGTCAAGTGCGTAAGAGGCCTTGGATGAGGTCTAAGATGATAGCTTAGAAGAGGTCACTCAGGAGCAAGAGGGTTGGGGAGCAAGAATAAGCAAGGTGGTTTACTTGGAGAGGGGGGACCCCTATTTATACTTGACCATGCCTCGGAGTAATTGGAGGTGGTTGGCAGCACGGCTAGGATTGCATCCGACTGATGCCATGTGGCTCCATCCTAGGCCCTACCACATGCACCTACATCATGAACAATATTAAATCTATTATAATTATTTTTTTGTGTTTTTAATAAATTTTTAGAGTTATATATAATTTTGTTCGAATATTTAAATAATTTTTAAAAAGTAGGGGAGAGGATAAAATGGAACTAGAGATAATTTAGGAGAAAGTGAGGGATAGTGGGGGATGTACTTTAGGAGAGGATATTATTTAGGTTATTGAGAATCTGTGGGGGAGAGAGAGAAAGAGATTTTAGATAATTTTTATGGAGAATGAGAGAATCTCATTGGTTGTTTTAAAAATGACATGGAATAAAAAAATAAAAAAGGAGAAAAAGGAGAAAATTTCTAGGCTGTTGTATTTTAGTATACCTACAAGCGGGGCCCTGTGTGATGCACGGGGTGGCGCACTCCTCCATGTCCCTTGCCCTCGTAGTCAAGACACTCTACCCCATCCCCACCCTGTCCTTGGTGGTGGGATGGGTTCGAGGAGAGGCAACCATTCCCTGTTGGCTATGGGGAATTCCCAAATTTTCCCCACCCGAGGCAACCACCTAAAAACAATCTAATTTGTGGATATTTTACAAATAGGATATGGGAATTTGGGGGTATTTTAGGAATTAGATTATGGCAATCTAGGGGTATTTTATAAATGAAATTGTGGGATCCTAGCATTATAAGAATATGAGGAAAACTTAAAGATATTTTAAAAATCAATGTTAAATCTATTGATATTTTACAAATTTACCATCGGGTTTGGGGAATTATATGCAAATCCCATCCCTTCCCCATCCCTGATTAGGAGCAAAAATATTTTCCCTATCCTTGATTTGGAGTAAAAATATTTTCCTCATCCCCACTCTATCTCTTTACCATCCTTATTTAAAATTCGAGAAAATAGGTGGGGCAGGGTAGGGCCCTAGTTTTACAGAGAAAATTGCCATCCCTACAATTCTAATACTTTTCAATAATTAATTAACTAACAATAAATTAAATTACAATATTTTATGATAATTTTCAAAAATTACTGAAATTGTTGTTGATTAGCAAAATGTATAGTAAATTAGTTATTTACAATAAAAATAAATTAATGTAAATTATTTACTTTTTAAGCCTAAATTATTTACTATTAGTCAATGTGATGTAATTATAGTAAACTAATGTAACTATGGTAAATTACATTATTTTTAATTAAAATTATATCACTTGTTGTTAATTAATGTAAAGCCAATAGTGGTTGAAGTCAACCAAGTGGTCTAGACTAGTGTCGATAGATTTAATAATTTTCCTAAGTTATTTCATAATTATTTACTAAAATAATAATAATGGATTGTTATTTAAATAAATATGAAACAATTTCTAGTAGATTAATTTCCTAATTTAATTTTCCTAAGATTTTTAATTATTATTTATTTAAAAAAATATGGATTATTAGTTAAAGAGTTTCCTTGAATTATTTGATAATTGTTACCTATAATTATTGATTTTTAGTAAATTATGCCAATTAGTAATATCATTTRTGAATAAATAATTGTTGTAAAAATCTAATGAAAAATTATTATATTACAATGACTAATGTAAATTACGCTAAACATTAAAAATGTGAACATTTATTAATTAACCAATGGTTAGTTTTCACTAATGGTTGGTCGATCGGTTTTGAGTGACCAACTCCCTAACCTGATTAGATTAGTTTGGCTAGCTAAACAATCTCCAAATAAACTGAATTGCCTAGTGAACACTCATAATTTTAGCTAAATTAATAGTCTAAACTTTAACAAGTAACAATAGTTTATTCTCCAATAATTATTGAAAACTTATAGCGAAAATACACAATTATTGAAAATATATTTATAACATAAATACAATAAATAACTAATAAAAAGTAGGACTACAAAGTCAGGCCAGGCCATGTTAGGTCAGGTTGAGGCCAACCCTAGTCCAACCCTAAGTTCTAAACCCCCAATCCTAACCCTAACCCAAACCGACTTACCCAACCCTAACCCTAACCCTAACCCTAACTAAATTCCTTCAACCCTTGCCCAACTCAACCCAACTCGAAGTTTGGGCTAGGCCCGACCCAACCTTCATCCCATCCCTTAAAAATCTCGTAGAACTTCTTAATCTCAGATCTTAACTCAACTTTCACCATATATATATATATATTAATCCTATATTTTATTAGTATTTGTTTGTTGATATTTTTATTTGTTCTTTAAGTATAAAATTCAGAAAAACATGTTTGAAATGACTATAGGTTATTATGAATTATGACTTATAATAGATCTTTCATGGGCAGCAAGCTATGGGTGGAAGACAACAAAAAAGGAGATAAAGAATAAAATATTCAAAAACATAGAATATGTTATTAAGGTTTTAGTATTTATAATTAGGTTTTAGTATTTACCTTAGTAAAAAGCTCTAACACCTCTAAGTTATTAAATCTACTTCCGCTATTTCAATAATTTTTATTTTTTCATTTACTTATATTTTATATTCTTATTAAAGTTAATACATAATTTTGTTATTTAATCTATTTTTTTGTTTTTTTATATAATGTTTAAAATATGATTTAGTATTCAATTTTTTTATATTGAAAATATTTAAAATTTATTTAAAAATAGTATATCAAACATAAATAATTATTAAAAAATAGCACATAATAAAACATAAATAATACCCTGCCCCGCCCTGAACAGGGCAAGTTTTCTCAAATCTTAAATAGGGATGGGGAAGAGACAGGGTGGGGATGGGGAAAATATTTTTGCTCCAAATCAGGGGATAGGGATTGCATATAATTCCCCAAACCTGATGGTAAATTAGTAAAATATTAGTAGATTTAATGTTGACTTTTAAAACATCTCTAAGTTTTAAATCACATTCTTATAATCCTAGGATCCCACAATTTCATTTATAAAATACCCCCAAATTGTTATAGTTCAATTCCTAAAATGCCCCAAATTCCCATAATCCTATTTGTAAAATATGAACAAATTAGATTATATTTAGGTGGTTGCCTTGGGTGGGGAAAATTTGGGGTTTCCCCATCCCTAACAGGGAATGGATACCTCGCCTCCAACTTGCTCGCCACTACGGACGGGGTAGGGATGGGATAGAGTGTCTTGACTATAGGGGCAAGGGACAGGGAGAGGTGCCACATCCCGTGCATTGCATAGGGCCCCAGTAGTTATAATTACTTTTGTACTTTTGATAATTTTTTTAAAGTTATAACATAATTTTGTTATTTACTCTTTTTTTTGAAATAATATATAAGATATGATTTAGTTATTAATTTTATTTAATTATTTAAAATTTTAAAATATTAAATTTTTATTAAATTTAATAATCCTTGAAATTATAATTTATACTATTATAAGATAATTTCGTTATTAATATTGTAAAATATAAAATTATTATTAATTCAAAATTTATGAAATATATTATAATTATTATTCTACTTTTAAGAAAAGGTTTTAAAATTTATTAGATAATTTCGTTATGTTAACTGGTTAACATTTAATTATATTAAATGTTTAAATAATACGTAAAATATTTAATATTTTTGTTATTTAAATTTTATTTATTTAATTCTATTATGTAATTTTAAACAATTTGTTATATAATTATTTAGCTTTTTTTAATACTTTGTTATTTAAATAATTTTTTATTTATGTTTTAAAATATTATTTAGTTATTAAATTGAATAATCCATAAAATTATAATTTATATTATCATTACATAATTTCATTATGAATTTCATAAAAATATAAAATTATTAATAACATGAATATTATTAAACCTATTATAATTATTTTTTGTGTTTTTAATAAATATTTTAAAATTATTAATATAATTTCATTATAGTAATTAAATAATTATTAAATGTTTTAATTGAAACTTTGCTTTATATTGACATAGATGAGAAGTGGGAGAGAGGATAAATATATATTAGAGATAATCTAGGAATTAAAGAGAGATAGAGATAATTTAGGAAAAAATAGGGACTAATTAATTTCCTAATAAAAAGTAGAGTTAAAAAATAGATAAACCATGTTAGGTGGCTAGTGGCAATTCCTAATGCCTATAAAGAAAGTATATATTTAATATACTTTGTTTAATGTATTGTCGGTCCTTTATTTGTGAGTGAAATGTGAGAAGCATGGTATCAAGTCTGTCTTATATATGTGTGAAAAAGTTAGGTTTGTGTGTGAAAAGGGTTGTTTCCTTCTCTTTTAACGTGAGAAATAGAAGCGTTTTACCAGAAAACTTTCTCTTTTTTAGAGATAATAAAAAAAGGACTAAACAGTAAAAACCCCCAAAAGCATTTGCTTCGTTTCTTTTCTTCGTGAATTCATCTATATTTTATTTGTTTTTTCTTAAAAGTCTACACACCCTACGCACTCATGTGGTSGGTTTGATTGTTGCGTGAACAACACGCCGAATTGATTCTCCGCTTTTGCATTGTTATATACAGACAATTGCTGTGAGTCCTCCGTGCTTCATAGACTGCCTTACAAACTCCTCCAACCTAACTCCCAAAACACTCGCTTGAGTTCGTTTTCTCTTTTAGCCTCTCCTGCTCTTGGAGAGATTGGTGGGTTGGCATGGAATGCCCAGGAGAATCTTGAAAAGCTCAGAGACAAACTTGGTGAATTTAGCCTCTCCTGCTCTTGGAGAGATTGGTGGATTGGCATGGAATGCCCAGGAGAATCTCGAAAAGCTCAGGGACAAACTATCAGCGATCAAAGTTGTACTTCTGGATGCAGAGGAATAGAGAAAGCCTAGAACGACTCAGTGAAAGATTGGATGAGAAGGCTAAGGACGCTGTTTACGATGCAGATGATGTGGTAGATGGTTTGCAACAGAAGCTTTGCGACTTCAATTGGGGATCCGTGGAAGCATAATAGAGGAGGTAAACAACTTCTTCAATCTCATTGCGTTTCGCGTTAAGATGTGCCATAGAATAAAAAGGACCATTGAGAATCTTGATGCGATTGCATCAGATATGTCCAGATTCCATATTTTGGAGAGATCGCATGATASTAGGCCAAGTGCGATTGTGGAGAGGGAGCAAACTCACTCCTTCGTACACACATCTGATGTTATCAGACGAGATCAAGATAAAAAGAACATTGTAGATCTTTTACTGAACTCGAACTTGAACTTGGGGGGTGGCGATAATCGAGAGCAGGAGCAAGTTTCCATCATTTCCATTGTTGGAATTGGGGGACTGGGGAAGACCACACTTGCCCAGTTGGCGTACAACGACCATAGTGTTGTAGAGCACTTTAAGCTGAGAATGTGGGTGTGTGTGTCGGATGACTTTGATGTGAAAAAGCTAACAAAAGAGATCATGAAGTGTATTAGGGCCAATATAGATTGTTCCAACCAAGAAATGGAGCAGTTGCAGGCTGATCTTCGAAAAGAATTGGATGGGAAGAGATATTTACTTGTATTGGATGATGTGTGGAATGAAGATTTAGATAAATGGGTTAAGTTGAGGGGTTTGCTAACGGGTGGTTCTGTAGGTAGTAAAATCTTAGTAACAACTTGGAGTGAAAAAGTGGCATCAATCATGGGCACATCTAACATCAGAGCATACCATTTGGGGGGATTGAGCGAAGATGAGTGCTGGTCCCTGTTCAAACAATGGGCATTTGAGCAAGGATAATAACAAAGGCATCCAAATCTTGTGAATATTGGAAAGGAAATCATGGAAAAGTGTAGTGAAGTACCCCTTAGCAGCAAAGGCACTAGGAAGTTTGATGTCCTTTAAACCCAAAGAAAGCAAATAGTGGTTGTATGTGCAAAATAATGAAATATGGAGAGTGGAAGAGGAAGCACTTGATGGTAAAGAAAATAAAATATTGCCTGCCCTGAGATTGAGCTATGATCATCTTCCGTCCACATTGAAGCAATGCTTTGCCTATTGTTCAATATTTCCCAAGGATCATAAGATTAAGAAAGAGACCCTAATCCAATTATGGATGGCACATTGGTTCATTCAATCTTCTCAAGGGAATAGTCGGAGTATGGAGGAAATAGGTGAAGAATATTTCATTGATTTACTGTGGAGATGCATGTTTCAGGATAGGTGAAGAATATTTCATTGATTTACTATGGAGATGCATGTTTCAAGATGCAGAAGAAGATTCAAAAGGGAAGATAGTAAGTTACAAAATGCATGACCTTGTACATGATCTTGCTCAATCAGTTGCAGGGGTTGAGTGTTGTCGGATCAAGGTGGGTCTACGGTCCAGCATTTCAGATATTCATGAAAGAGTTCGACATGTGTCACTTCTTGGTCATGGCTTGACCTTGCCAAAAAGTAGTACTGAACCCGTATTGAGACTTAGAAGACGCAGACTCTACTCTTGCTCAATAAATGTAATTGGGAATCAATAGTTGACAGAATAGTTAGTTCAAATTTCAGTTGTTTATGTGTTCTAGACTTAAATCATACATATATTATGAAGTTACCAAGTTGCATGAATGAACTGAAGCACTTAAGGTACCTTGGTCTCTCTTCTACTAGAATTAAGACACTCCCTGCATCAATTACTAAGCTGAAAAGCTTGCAGACCCTAAAACTCTGAAACTGTAAACTTCGATAGTTGCCGGTGGATATTGGAAATATGAGGAGGCTAAGACATATTGACCTTTGTTGGAATAGTGACATCAAAGCACTCCCTAATTCTATCACAAAACTAGAGAATATGCACACCCTAATTCTTGAAGGCTGTAGTCTTGAAAGCAAGAAAGCATGTTGCAAGAACTGCAGCCACATCAAAATATAAAGAAGTTGATCATAGAGGGATATAGGGGGATGAAATTTGCTTCTTGGATGATTAATTCGTCATTGCTCCCAAATCTAGTAAGAGCTGAGTTATATGAATGTGCAAGATGCGAATGTCTTGAGTTGTCAGGTCCATTTGCTTTCCTCCAGGTCCTAAAGCTATTTCATTTGGAAGCCCTCAAGAACATTATAATTGAGAAAAGGAGAAGAAATATTCTTCCCATCCTTAACACAACTTGACCTCGTCAACATGCCTAATTTGACAGGTTGGTCAATAGTAATAGATGATGATAATGATGATGATGCAACTGCAGCAGATCCAGAAAAATCATTTTCATCCCTCCCTCATCTTCCCAAGCAATGGGTGATAAGCAATTGTCCTAAATTGGGACATATTCCTTGGGGTATACCGCTGGCCAATGAAGAAGTGAAGCTGGATGGTTATAGTAGCAATGTTAGAGTTAATACTCAAGAAGAGGACAATACTAGATCAAGCCCCAATCTTGACATCAACTACAAACTCTTCTACTTTTTTCCATCCTGAAGCAAGGAGATTGCAAATTACCCACTGCCAAGACCTAAAGGCTTTTCCAGAGGAGGTGATGAATGACTTGACTTGTATCCGATTTTTAGAAATTTGCAGGTGCAAGAGTTTGATGTCATTGCATCCTCAAGCAGTGATGCAATACCTTACCGACCTTGAGGAGCTACAAATTGAGGATTGTCCAGAGTTTCATTCGCTGGAGGGCATCGGAGGTCTTATAGCCCTAAAACTTTTCAAGATAGAAAATATGCCAAAACTGGTTGGACTGCCACAGGAGCTGGGAAACCTCCGCTGTCTCTGGCACCTTGAAATCAATAAAATACCAAAGTTGGAATCTCTACCAGAGGAGCTTGGAGACCTTAAATTACTTGAAAAGCTTTCTATTTGTGGGTGTCTTAAGTTGCCATCTGTACCTAAGGGGATGAATCGTCTAACAACACTGTAGATGCTACAGATTGAAGATTGTTCAAAGTTCCGTTCTTTGGAGGGCATTGGAGGTCTTTCGGCCCTACAAGTTTTGAATATTGTAGAAATGCCAAAATTAGTTAGGTTACCACAGGATCTGGGAGACCTCAAATCCCTTCAACAGCTTCATATTCGGTGGTGTCTCAATCTGTTTTCTCTACCTGAAGGTATGTGGCATCTAACGGAACTAGAGAAGCTACAGATTGAACATTGTTTAGAGTTACATTCCTTGGATGGCATTGAAGGTCTTATGGCCCTTAAAGTTTTGAACATTAGACATATGCCTGTTTTGGCGTCTCTACCGAATAAACTTGGAGACCTCAAATTGCTTGAAGAGCTTTGTATTGATTGGTGTCTTAAGTTGTCATCTCTACCTAAAGGAATGAACAGTCTAACAATGCTACAGACACTACATATTGAATATTGTCCAGGCTTCCATTCACTGGAGGGCATTGGAGGTCTTATGGCTCTAAATGTTTTGAATATTAAATATATGCAAAATTTAGCATCTTTACCAGAGGAGTTGGGAGACCTCAAATCCCTTCAAGATCTTCATATTCAAAAGTGTTCCAATCTGTCATCTCTACCTGAAGGTATACAGTATCTATCAGAATTGCAGAAGCTATCAATTATAGTTTGTCTGCAGCTAGAGGAATAATGCTCAACCCATACAGAAGAAGATTGGCCTAAGATATCTCATGTCCCACATATTCATGTATCACGTTGGTGTTCTACATAGAATTAATTTATTTGGGCTAAGATATCTTATATCCCATGTGTCATCATCACTACCTCTGTTCCATACACAATGCCGTTGATCTCATCCAAAATTTTCTTCTTCTGGTTCATAGTCTCTTTACTCTATCTTCACAACCAATTCATTGGGCTTATTTCTGTTTTCTATTTAGGAGCTAATGTTATTGCTCCCTTGTTCTATGTTCATCTGTAAAAGGTAGAAGTAAGGAACTTCTCTTATTACTGAAATTCAAAATTAATGTGATTTAATTTCAAGCCACTGTTTGTGGGCAACACCTGTTAGGGTTGAAGTGTTCTTTMTACCAGTTGAACAACTTTATTCGATGCAGATCAATTGACGACAAATGATATATTTGATGGTAATAAACTCATTGCTATATTTATTCATTTCTCTTGTTTGTGTATAGTTCATGCTATGAAATTTATGAGTCCGATTGTATTCTGTCTGCTTTCTTTTTCAATCCTAGCAAAAGAAGAACACCAAATTAAACATTGGTTAATTAATTATTTATTAATTCCTATACTCTTWATTGTCTTTTATGGGGATGTTAACAATTTACCTTACAGTTTTACCCAAGAAACAGGGTCAGGAGAACAAAAAAATGATACTATGGAATATAATTCATTGGTTCATATCCTAAGTAACTTCAATAACAGCTTATTAGATGAATTTTCTCTTTGCTCTATTGAGTATTGCTTTTATCAATAAAGCAACAAAGGTGTTAATATGTGTAAAACCTATTTACATTGACTAATCAACTAGAATATTTCGTTGACCTTCTTCTCTAACTTTATGATGCATTTTGGTTTTTTGTCCCTTCTTGTATAATTGTTGTAACAAATTAAATGGACTATAAACTACAATCAATTACCAGAAGGAGTTGTCCGACCAGGCAACCACAAATAGGGCCTATTTTAGTGTCATAGGCACATTTGAAGTCTGTTATTGTAGCTACAGAATGAGTTCACTGTARTCTATATTTCCATAAGAAACTTCAACTAAATCAAACACCCTTCTAAGTCTTGTTTGTGTTTCATTAATGCACTAGCAGTCCAACACATTTCTCCAGCCTCATTCAAAATATACCTAATTATTGAAAGTCTGAACAGATTAAGAATAGCTAAATATTCAGCATGTTTGCTGCTTGAATTGCATGATAAWGAGTCCTGCATTGAGCTTCTACATTCCCCTCTTTTGGAAATGTTTTTCCTTGTGTCAATACTCTAATAAATATGATGGTAGGAAGTTATTCAACATGCAAGTTCTGTGCTTGTTTTTTTGGGTCTGCACATGAGCATTTATTTGTACTCCTCATAAGTGCTAGTTTCATATATCATCTAATTTTGTGAA